AGTTATTTGTAGTATATAGTGTTAGGAAGCAGTACATGCAGAATATTGTATAGTAGCAGATTATTCTGATTCATATAATCAGGTTAGTTTACGCATTGGGATTATAACCTGATGGCACAGTTATTTTGTAAATAGTCTTCGTCTTTCCTTTTGTACATATTTCTGTCTCTTTTTTTACATTGTTTCTCTTTCCTCCCTTGTTGTACTCTTCATTCTATTCTTCTTATGCGTGCCCTTCAGTCTTTTTAGTCGGTTCCTCTTTTTCAGTTGTATGGCACGCCTATGTAGAAGTTGAATGAATTAAAAATTTGTAGTGTGTACATGTTAGCTAGCATAAATGAGAAAGGGGAAACCTATGATTCATGCACAACAGGAAGTATCATAGTCAACGGTACAGCTTGTGCGGGAATAACAAATTCATTAGATACTGCAATGATATGCGAAGCGTATGAATAGTGACCTAGTTATGTAGTAGTATCATGGCAGCGCAATTCGTAGAATTACTGGCAGAGTGGCTAATACGCAGGCAAGGACAGGGAATTGACGGTTTTTACGAGGTAGGTTATGGTACGCACAGAATGCAAAAGAGCACAGCGCACGCAGCGCATAGGTGAGTGTACTGATGTGCTCACCAGGAAAGTGTGTTACCAGTATATATATGACTATGGCGGATATTGCATTGGCATAGTGTGTACAAGATCAGTGCTTGGACAGTAAGTATTGAACTATGAGTATTCACATACGTCATGTACTAGCAGCATTATGCCGTTGAAACATTCGGGGTCGCTACTTTACCCTTTACAGAGACAAATATGGGCAGATATGAAAAATATGGTAGACAAGTTTCTTACCTATATGGAAAAAGATAATGCCACATTTGCGCAATCGTGTGATGATCAAGGATGGGGGCCGTACAAAATCAAAAATTGGCATAATGCTGACGACACAGTTGTATGCAAAATGATGGTGCCGGCATTATTTTTCATGAATGGCTGGGGGACGAGTGCAGACGGGGGATACGATGCTTCGGCAGTAGGAGACCCATTACAGACATATATCAGGTGCATAATTGCGAATGTAATTATGTTCCAGTTGATAAGAGCAAACTGTGGGAGAAATCAAGGTATACGACAGGCATTGTACATATTACAAAACTTGATGACCAGTGTTCATAGTGGTGTTAATGTTAAGACGTGCACCTGGGTGGTTAGTAATGAGCTGAAAGTAGGAGGAAAAGTAATAGGCGCACAATTTGATGAATGGATAATGGGCAATGAAAAAATGCAGGCCAAGATGAACAAGTTACAGCAACGTGTAAAATGCAAAAGAACGGGGAGACAGACATCTGACCACTGGAAGCGACGTATGGAATTATTGAAAGAAGGAAAATTGCGGGAGGCCATGGAGACAGAAATGACGCGTATATTAAAGAAAGTAGGGAAGAAAGTAGAGCCAATATGGGGGCCAGTTCCTTCCGACGACGACGATGAGGACGAAGATGAGGATGCACAAGAGGAGGACACGAATGGTAAGAACAATAAAGGAGCAGAGTGATAGGAATATCGGCACTAGGAACACGCACCATACGCACACGGTCGACACGCATACGGCCGCATACTAACACGGCCGGCACTTACAGGGCCGGCACCGTTACAGCCGAATATGGATACCACCACAACAACGCGCACCCGCGCACACGCGGCGAGAACAGCGGCACAGCAAACGACTTCACTTGAGCGGCGACGATGGCGGAGGGACGGCAACAACATAAAAGTTGTACTGCTACCATCGCAACCCAGTTCACCGAGTACGCAGTCCACCGAGTTCACCTCACCGTACGCTTGCTGTCGCCTGACCCAGTTCACCGCGTACGCAGTCCACCGAGTGCGCCCCCCTTTCTTCCTGTCTTTGTCCTCTTCTAACAACGTGCGCGCTCTCTAACACCGTCCGCGTGCGGTCGCCTGACCGCACCGTCCCGGCCCCTTCTTTCTGTACCACTTGTGTCCCTTTTTTTTTTATCGTCATTCGTCCATATTTCTTCATTGCTTCCTTCTTCATTGCAGGAAGTGCGAAGCCGGTGGCTAAACCACCTGTAGTTAACGAATCACCCAAGGATGCAGACCCTGCTAAGACAGAAGACCAACATGCAGGTAAGAAAAGTACTTGTACCAAGAATGTGACCGAGTCCCACGGAGGGCAATCAGGCCGCGGGCAATATGCTGATCCCATTGATGACCACAGAGGAGGTACAGGTGGCTCCTCAGTATCTTTCACTGTTGCCGTCACCACGCCCGAATGTTCAGACCCAGGTAACAGTGTTTCACATGAGCATACTTCTGAGCTTGGACACTGTATGGCGGCACACCCGCTGGACTATTAGAGGAAGCAAAAAAAAAAAACAAATGAAACCACATTTCCGGCGACAGAGGGAGAGAGACAACACGGAGAGAGAGAAACCAAATGTCGAATGAGAATGCAAGCGGCAGAGCGACAGCGATGGGTCGGCCGCGACAGGTAGCCACGTAGACGTCCACAGACGTCGCCACAGACACACGCACACTGTGTTGTGTGTTGTGTGTGTTATGTGGGAGAGAGAGAGAGTCTTTTCCCTGGGTGGCACCTGGCCCTTTCTTCCCCCGTCTCTCCTTCGTGGCTGCTGCCCGCGCCGTCCCCCGTGGCACCAATGGTGCCAACCGTGTGGCCGATCGTGTGGTCAACGGACCGTGGTCGATCCACGTGTAGCCGACCGTGGTTAACCACCGCACAAAACCTTGCATTTCATCATTGTCCTTTTCCCAAACCTTCTTTTAGGAACTGCAGTAACAGTCCCTGAGCCACCACCAAAACCAGAACCAGAACCAGAACCAGAACCGGAAGCGCCGGCACCGTCCAATGCAGGTGCTACAGGACCATCATCAGAAACAACAACAGCATCGCCTGAAGCAGCGACACCATCAACACCAACAGACACACCATCAAAAGGAACACCAGGGCACGGTAAAACGAGTGACAAGAAAGATGGCGCTCCGGACGGCGATGGCGGCAACGATGACCCCCCTCCTCTCAATCCACCGCCACCAAAACCGAACCCGAACCCGGATCAATCGGGTAGTAGTGGCAGTTTCAGTGACGCTGATTTGGCGGATGGAGTTTCTGGCGGGGAAGGAAAAGCAGGTGGCGATGGAGCAGGTTCCTCTGGTACTGGTTCTACTGGTCCCCCAAACGCCGGTTCATCTGGTCCAACTTCTGCGGGGACAGGAGCAACTGGGACTCATGGTGCCGGTTCCCCTCCTTCCGGTGGCCAGACTCCAGAAACCAAAGACCAACCTCTTCCTATCCTCCCTACGTCTCCGAAAACCTTCGACCCCAAGGATCTCATCCCGTACACCCCCGCGATCATTCCCGCGGTGGTTGGTATTGGGCTCATTGCGTTCTTCCTATGGAAGGTCAGTATATACGACAATGCGGGCATGCCGGACGTGCACGATGTTTATACCGCAGAAACTCACTACGGGCTCCACTATATGATCGTTCGAACCCATATACTCCTACACCCGTATTCATTCCTTTTATCCTACCGTCCTCACCCTCCTATTTGCCCCCCTTTTTTCTGCTTAGTACTTTGCGTACCTCGGACAAACACGACGACGAACGTATCGAACCGTTCGTGACGTGCCGTCACCTCCACTCGCCGAAGAAATTCTAGACCATCTACAACGCGGCGACCTGCCGCCACCCGATTACGGGTACACGACGATTAGGGATAGGCGGCCCGCATCTGCTGCCGAACGCCGCGGACAACGCTCACCACGCGTGCATAAGCGCACGATCATCGAGCTACACTTAGAAGTGCTCAACGAATGTGAAGCGGCCGAATGGGAAAACGTCAAAGACGACTATTTGCAGATTGTCGTGCAGGAGTTTGAGCAGGAGTTGATGCGGGACGGAAACGGGTATAGTAGTTTCCCGGATGCTCCTAGCACACACCAGGGTTTATCAGGGACCAATGTTGCATCCACCGTGGACCCACCCACTGATTCCGACGGAACGGATGCATGTTCACCGCATGACCCCGATCCGTGGCGTTGTATGGAAACCATAGAGTTAGCAACGGACCCTTGTCCACCTAATGACCCCGATCCATGGCGTTGTATGGAAACCATACAGTTACCAACGGACCCTTGTCGACCTCATGAGCCCGATCCTTGGAGTTGTATGGAAAACATACAGTTAGCAACGAACCCTTGTCGCCCTAACGAAGAGGACCGATGGAGTTGTATGGAAAGTATGCCGTTAGCAACGGACCCTTGTCCACCGAATGAACAGGACCGATGGCATTGTATGGAAACTATACAGTTCGATGCAGAACAGAGTCGTGCTCATTCCGACCACGGTGACGCGACGTCGTACTGCACCCACTGGATTAACTGGATTGACCGCCACCAACATATGTTGCGGGCGTGCACGACGCAGCCGTGGTTTTTGCAATTAAAAGCGGACTGGAAACAATATCAGCGTGCACACATGGCGGCAAACGAGGACAACGGAGTATGCGGTCATAGTGAATTCGGTGATGCGGCAACCATGGAACGGAAGAAATTGGATGCATGGAAAGAATGGGTCGCGCAGCAACATGGGCACATGCGTATGTATAACGCGCAGGAGTGGTTTCAACGTTTGTTGAATAATGTAGCGGAGGAGACAGTACCGGCAAAAGCCGAAGTACCTGGAGTGGACACACACTTCAAAATGGAACAAGTAATGGCCGCAGAAGACTTGCTACAAGTGCGAGCTGTACCGCGGTCGCAACCACTGCATCCGCAACTGTACATGAAAAAACCGTTAACCGCACAAACATGGATACTGCTCCTGGCATTAGTCATAGAACAGTGCGACGTCGACTGTCGTTTGAAGGAGAAGGAGTTATATGTGGATGCCCTATTGCACAAGCTCTGACATTCGGATGACGGGGCATATGACTGGGAAATAACGCATGCTCATCGTACACCACTTTTACTTCATTATGTGATATACGTAACATATTTCGGGTTTACATTATTCTATACCGTCTTTTTTTGTCCTCTGTTCTGCTGACTTCTGTTTACTTTTGCCTTGTTTTGTTCTTTTTCTGTGTAGTCCACTTCTTTTAAAATGATCATGGGGACACGGTGGTACCGGTTAAATGCATATAAAATGTAGATTTAAATGAATAATATGAAGGGGTAGTATTCTCCTTTATGTGAAGTTAATTATTACACGCTGCGCACGTGCATTCTACGGGTATAGTGCAGAACAAATATAGAACGCGACTACGCATTCGAGTATAAGGAGAGATTGTCTCTCCGAGCAAACGCGGCCGGGTAAGCCGCATTGTAGCCGCGTGTAAGAAGGAGGAGAGATTGTCTCTCCGAGCAAACGCGTCGACCAAAGCGGCCAAGTGTAAGACGGATTCGACGAAGTAGCCGCGTGAAGCGGTTCGAGTGACGCATCCACAGAGAGGTAGCAGAGAGCGGGATCGCAGACAGCGGGAGAAGAGAAGGAACACACATATTATGTGGGAGTACACATGGGCGTAACGACGGCGACAACGACGGCAGAAGAATTTATGTTGTTGTTATTCCTGCGGGGTTTTAGGTGTACGCAGAGCCGACAGTGTGTGACGGCGTTTAGTGCAGCAAGGCGGAGAGGGGGTGGTATTCATGACGCGTTGCGTGTAGTGTTTTTCCTATTTTCTCCCTTCTGTCTTTTTTTGTTTTTCCTTTTTTTACTTTATGTTTATCTGTCTGTTAGTACTATGTCCAATTCATGGTGGAATACTAGAATCAGCGGCTACGTGTCCAACGGCATATTAACAACCTACTGTGTGCATATGTTCTCAGTCCACATAGGGTGAAGAATGCATATATGCAATATTAACATATGTACGCAGGTATTGGGTTAGTATGACGTCATGGTCATATCCGCAGAAGTGGAATTATATATGAGCATAGCAATAATATCATGGCTGAAAAATTGGTAGAAGTCTTGGTGGAGTATGTACAACAGAGACAAATAGCATCTGATAAGGGAGACGGCCAAGCAAGGAAGAGTGAATTCAGTGTAAGTGATTATACAGAGCGAATAGGATACTTCAGTGTATAGTGGTCATTGTATACAAAGACAAGTATAAAATTTATTTTGGGTGCACGATGAGTATTCATGTATTATAAAGTCATGTTGCTGATTCACCACAGTGAACAATATATGTCAACAGAATAGCATTGATTCTGTGTTAGGAACAGTCAGGACAGCCACAGGTACACAGTGTGTACATTTGTGGACATGTGTTGTTATATTTACAGGATATGCTCTGGGAGGACATACAAAAACTATTCACGGAGCTGACTAATAAATTGAAAGAGAAGGATATTATGGAGAGTGCGCTGTGCCAGGCACTCTATGGGAAAGCCACGAAGTTCGTACTACAGAGGATGCTATGCCGGTACATCGTGAAAATATTTGTATACATGGATGGCACGGCAGAAGTAGTCACGGGTGGGACAAAACTAAATGCCGAGCAGAAGAGCTGGAGGGACTATTTCAAATGTGTGGTAGGGAATGTGACATTAATAAAGTTATTTGAGAAGAACTGTGCAGCAACGGAAATTATAAATCAGGTCTCAGGGGCCATGAGTACCATAGCTACGACATTTGGGGGGAAGAGTAATAGCAAACAATGTCAGGGCCTTGATTATGATAGCCTCAAAATTGGCACGAAGTTTGTGGCCGGAACGATGGGTGAATGGATAAATAAGTGGAAAATAACATCCGTTGGAGGGTTAGGTGGGTCACGAGCAACCACCTCATGTAGTGCAGCAGGAAGTATAACGAAGGCGACAGCGACGACAGATAGTGAAGACGCGCATGTAGTGAAACTGTTGAAGGACAGCACTGCACGAGATGTAGCGCGGTTAATACAGAAAGAGGCGACAATAACGGCACACGAGAGAAAAACAATAATGGACGCCGCGAGGGATGCAGGAACAGCGACAACTGTACTGGACGCAGTAATGCGTGAAATAGAACGCAAAGCGAACGACCACGGAGGGGACATTCAGGTGCAAGGTAAGCACGGGGGAACAAGCACAGAGCAGTGACACGGGCACGGATAACGTAGGACGGGATGAAAAAACAAGAACAGCAGCACGCAACACCATATCACAAGACCTTCCTGGATTCTAGGTCACTCAGCACAACAGAACCTACGCATTCCCTACAACTTGTTGCCATTGTTTACAGATCATAGCGCCTCCATACACGCAACCGGCACAACACCACCGGCACCGTCAGGTAAGGACCGATGGGAGAAAGCACGAATGCGTACAAATACGACCGAATACGAATACGTACGCCTACGGCCCGCACGCATGCCAACGGCCGCCTACTGACCGTACGACTGCGCACGCATATGGACGCCGCCGCCGACAACCCGCACACGCGGCCAGAACAGCACCACAGCGGCACATCTACGCTGCCCCACTTCGTTGAACACATCATCGTTGAGCAGAGCACAGCGCTACACTTCGATGACGTTGCGCGCTTCTCTGCCCCACTTCGCGTGAGCGGCGACGAGTGTAGGCGAGGTGTGCGCGGCGGAACAGCATGTAGCGGCGACGACGCACCGGACGACGGTAGCGGCAGCGGCGGCGATGGCAGACGCCGACAAATAAAAGTTGTACTGCTAGCAACTAGCCCAATTTCACCGAGTACGCAGTCCACCGAGTGGACACGGCCGGTACCTGATCGAACCGTCCCGGCCCCCTTCTTTCTGTACCACTTGTGTCCCTTTTTTTTTTTATCATCATTTATGTTCTCATCTTTCCTGGTTACAGCAGACAAGGAAAAAAAAGACCAGGGTACAGGAAGCGGCACATCATCAGACAGAGTATCCGCAAACCCAGGGCACGCATCAGTAGGCAGGACAGATATAACAGCCGCAGGAGGAGCAGGGGGACCAGCACCACAACCCCCACCTGCGGCATCCTCACCTCCCTCAGGGAAATCAGGCGGTGCAGAGGCAGGAGCAACGGAAGACCACGGTGCTACGGGCGTTGCAGGAGCACCGGCATCAACGGACACATCAGGTGAGGCTAAATGTAAGGCGGGTATGGGGCAGGGCCCACAGAGCTCGGGTGCAGTTGTTATAAGTAGCGGATGCACATCGGGCGAAGCCTTAGGAGAAATATCGGGCCTTACGGACAAAGCGGACTCCAAACCCACGCATCCTGATAACGGTAATGTACACTAAGACTTATAGGGGTGCATATTCAATATTGGATGAGTGGGATAGCGTGCGAGAGAAAAAACAAAAAACAAAAAAGAAACAACAATTTCCGCAGACAGAACACGGAGAGAGAGAAACCACGGAGAGAGAGAACCCAAACGTCGAATGAGAATGAGCGGGGGCAGACCGATGAGGTGACAGCGACAGCCGCGGCCGATACAGCGACGTCGACAGGCAGACGTCGACAGACACAGACACACTGTGTGTTGTGTGTTGTGTGTGCGAGAGAGAGAGTCTTTTCCCGGGTGGCAAGTGCCCCTTCTGCCCCCGTTCGTCTCCTACCACGCCGTCTCCCCGTGCCATGCCGTGCCGTCTCCGTGGCACCATGTGGCCGACGGTTTGCCTGATCGTGTGACCAACCATGTAACCGCGCGTCGTCCACCAACTCACAAAATGTTACTTGCATCATTTTCACTTCTCTTCCTGTTTTAACTCTTTAGGTAAGGAGAATGTATCAAAAGCGGATGAGAAGACTACTGTGGAGAACACACCTCCAACAGGCCCAGATCCCGTGCAGCTCAGTGAACCCAGTAGCCCCAGTACACCGGGGTCCCCGGATGCCCCTGACGTAGGTACCAAGACAAAGGGGCGTGAACCACCTGATGGTAAAGCTAACCCAGATGCTCAGAATGGACATGTGCAACCTAACGAGGACAAAGGGGGGAAGAGTATTACACAAACGGACTCAGAAAAAGTGACTTCCATCGGACAGCAGGATCCATCCGGTGGCACAGGTACCAGTGATGGTGGTATCAGTACTACTGTAACCTGTTTACCCGGGATTACTGATACAACATGTAATATTGTGAACGGTGCCTCCACTCCCAGTAATGATAATAGCAGCACTCCTACAGGCGGTGTGTCCTCTGCTGGAGGTGCACCTCCTAACCCTGTATCGGGTACTGCTTCAGGTTCCCCTGCTCCATCCACCCCAGATGGTGCGGACAAGAAAAATAAGCCCCCTCAGGATTCACCTGATCTTGACCTAAATACTCTTGGTGCCGCCGGAACAGGTAATCCTGGCGGATCCCATGCACTATGGACGCCAAGCGATGGATTAAATGGGCAACCAGCACAATCAGGTCCTTTACCTGGCCCAGAGGACAAAATCCCAGGTGAAACTACAGATGGCAGCGGCCCCTACCCACCTGACCTAACCGGTGTTGTCCTTACCGCCACTACTCCGATCCTGTTGTTCGTCGCTTCCGTCATCGTGGCCGTTCTTGGTTATTCCCTTTGGAAGGTACGTATACACGGCAATCACGGAATGCTGCATGTGCAGCATGTTTATACCACAGAAACTCACTACGGGCTCCAATATATGATGGTTCTAACCAATATGCCCCTACACCCGTGTGCATTCCTTTTATCCTACCGTCCTCACTCTGCTCTTTACCCCCCTTTTTTCTGCTTAGTACTTTGCGTACCTCGGACAAAAACGACGACGAACATATCGAACCGTTCGTGACGTGCCGTCACCGCCACTCGACGAAGACATATTGCAGCATCTACAACGCGGCGAACTACCGCCACCCTATTACGGGTACACAATGGTTAGGGCACGACGTCGCCATAAATTTGCCGACCGACGACGACGCCCACCACGCGTGCATAGGCGCACGATTATCGAGCTACATCTAGAGGTGCTCCACGAATGTGAAGCGGCCGCTTGGGCAAACGTCAAAGACGACTATTTGCACATACTCGTTGAAGAGTTTATGCGGGGCAACAACGGACATAGTAGTACCTCGGATCCCCCTACCACAAACCATGCTTTACCAGGGAACCATGTTTCATTCACCGTGGATCCACCCAGTGACTCGCATGCAACGCACCCTTGTGCACCGCATGACTGCGATCCATGGAAGTGTATGGAAACCATACAGATAGAAACGGACCGTTCTCCACCTAACGAAGAAGACCCATGGAGTTGTATGGAAACTATACAATTACAAACGGACCCTTGTCCACCGAATGAACACCACCCCGATCCTTGGAGTTGTATGGAAAACATACAGTTAGCAACGAACCCTTGTCGCCCTAACGAAGAGGACCGATGGAGTTGTATGGAAACTACACAGTTAGAAACGCATCCTGGTCCACATAATGAAGATGACCCATGGAATTGTATGGAAACCACACAGTTAGATGCAACACAGAGTCGTGCTCATTCCAACCACGGTGACGCGACCCCCGACCACACTAATTGGATTAACTGGATTGACCGCAACAAGCACCTATTGCGCGCGTGCACGGGGCAAACGTGGTTTCATGCCCTCAAATCGGAATGGAAACAATACCTGCGTCAACATGCGCAAAACGCAGCATCCGGTGAGCACAGGAAAGCCGCAACCATGGAAAGGAAGAAGTTGGATGCATGGAAAGAATGGGTTGCACAGCAACATCGGCAAATGAATGTACATAGCGCCGAGGAGTGGTTCCACCATTTGTTGAATAGTGTAGAGGAGGCGACAGTATCTCACAGAGGCGAAATACCTCGAGTAGAACAACACTTAGAAGTGGAAACACTAATGGGCACAGAAGATATGCTCAGAGTGAGAGATGTACCACGGTCCCAACCACTGCATCCACAACTGTACCTCCCCAAGCCGCTAAGCACTAAAATATGGATACTGATCCTGGCATTAGTCATAGAACAGTGCGAGCGCGAATGCAGTTTGCAGGAGAAGGAGTTATATGTGGATGCTTTATTACAGCATATGCGACATTAGAATGACGGCGCTCATGCATGGGACCTAACGCATGCTAACCGTACACCACTTTTACTTCATTATGCGATATACGTAATATATTTCTTGTTTGCATTATTCTATACCTTCTTTTTTTGTTCTGCTCTGTTATGCTTACTTCTGTTTACTTTTGCCTTGTTCTGTTCTTTTTCTGTGTAGTCAACTTCTTTTAACATGACCATAGGAACAGGGTGGTACAGGTCACATGCATATAAAACTTAGATTTACATGAATAATATGCAGGCGCAGTATTCTCCTTTATGTGACGTTAATTATTAACAGATGCGCAAGTGCATTCTAAGGGTACAGTGCTGAACACATATAGCATGCGCCTACGCATTCGCGTATAAGGAGAGATTGTCTCTCCGAGCACACGCGGCCGCGTAAACCGCATTGTCGTCGAGTGCACGAAGCAGGGCATTGTTTCTCCGAGCACACGCGTCGACCAAAGCGGCCGGGTACACGGATTGTAGCCGAGTAACGCGGCCGAGTGTACGAAGGATTCGACGCAATAGCTGCGTGTAAGAACGGAGGGAGACATTGTCTCTCCGAGCAAGCGCGACGACCCACGCGGCCAAGTGTAACAACGATTCGACGACGTAGCCCAGTAACAAGTACGCGGCGAGTAGGGCAAATTGATGTTGTTGTTATACTGCGGTTTTAGTGTACAAGGGGTTTAGTGTACGCGCACAGAGACACAGTGTGTGCACGGGGGTTACTGGACAAGGGGGAGGGGGGTTCTTTTCATGACGCGGGTTGCGTGTACCCACTAGTAGTGGTACTTTTTTTTTTTTCATTTCCTTTTTTGTGTCATTTTTTTTATTTTTATTCTTTTTTTTTTTTTGGTTGTTCCTATTTCTTATTCGTTTTTGCATTTCCTTTATTCCTCTTTTTTCTAATTTCTATATATGTGTTTTTTTATGTTGTTTTTTTTTGCTGTTTCCCAATCATTCATGAAACATAACTTTCTTCTACAGCGTTTAGTTCACGACTATGTTATATTCATCTGGAAAAAGACAGTACTGACAAGAGCAACGGGCAGTTTTGGACACATGTACGCACCATGAGGCAGTGTAGTATGCGCCATAACAGTTGAATATACACATTTACAGTAATACAAGCACAATGGCCGCGGCCTTAGGGAAGCTATTGGTGTATTATACTACGACAAGAGGAATAAGGGCCGATGTGAACGAGGGCGATACTGGGCCGGGCAGTTTAAGCGTAAGTTAAGTACCGTAAGGGCAGAATGGGAGCGACTTGTACATTTACATACATTTACAGTAGCGGAATATAGGCCTTGACGTGATCATGACACAACCACAATTATGTATACATCTACGTATTTTTTACGTGTTTGTTGTAGGAAATATTCTGGGGGGACGTGAACAGAGTATATAACGAGTTATTGTATGACATGGAGGAACCCAGGAATGACATAGAGACCTTGTGCGCATATATCGTGCAGAATGGGGCGATGGCACAAAGACGCCTGGAGGATTCATCGTTATGCAAGGACATAATGAAAGTTTATTATTTTATGGATGGTATTCGCACAGCGGCCGAAACGTCTTCGCATGTAACTCAGCATGAGGACGAAATACACCCACTCATGAGGTGTATGGTAGGATACGTCACTTTAGCCAAAAAATTTGCACCGCTGTGTCAATTCAACGACTTGGTGCCTGATGTAAGCGCGGCCACAGACGCTATGAGGCAAACGTACCAAGTGCACACTAGTAATACTGCATGCGACGGATTGGACCTTGCTTCATTAAAAATAGGGTACAAATTGGTAGGAGCAACCATTAAGGAATGGATACACAACGACAGTACTCGGTGGGACGAAATCATGGACGATTATATCACTGAAACTTGTGAAGACCACACCACAATTGACGCAGGCAGAAATAGCGGGCAGGAGAAACACGCAGAGAAAGAGCCACAGGGTGCACAACGGCCAATTAGTCTGCACGATCTAAAGACGTTGGCCGCTAGTAAAGATGAATTATCCAAGGACGAAGCGACAAGAGTTTTGACCCAGATACAGGGACTGACTGATACGGATAGTATAATGAACAAGTTGCAAGACGCAATTGAAGCAGTTCCGTCCCAAAGGCGCGACAATGTGGCGCAAGCTGGCGGAGGGACACCAAAGGCACACATACAACATCGTCATCATCCGGATCATCAACAACATCTTCATCGTCATCACCATCCGGGACGTCGCAGTCGTCGCCCGCCAAATCCGCCACGGCGGATACTGTGCCGGCAACCACACCATCAAAGGCACCGACAGGTAAGATAGATGAGAGTAAGCACGAAGAGGCGGACACTACCCATACGGCCGAATACGGACCATACAAATATACGGCCCGCATGTACACCGTACAAATATGGATAGGCAACACACGCACTACACATGGCACAGGGCAACCGTGTGCTTGGGCAGACAAAGAAGTGGAGGACAGTGAACAGAAGTGCAATGAACAGGAAGGGGTGATAACCAAGGACTCTGAGTTCATGACGAAAATAAAGGAATGGGCGAATACTGCTTTCTTTTCGCGCGTCAAGAAGGTGTTCGAGGATATACACAAAAAAGGGGGATCCACGGGGCGATGTGACATACAGAAACAGATAAAGACAAAGGTTAAGCAGCTGGAGAACACAGTGAATCCACCTACGGCAACCGGCGTCAGAGCACCTGCACCACCCCCGAAGCCGAGGCCACAACCTGCTCCAGCACCAGCACCAAGACCACCGAGGCCACCACGGCCATCCGATCCGGCCTCCGCCAAACCAGCACCACCATCACCGTCCGGCAAGGACGCCAGCGGAACAGCACAGAAACCTGCCAAACCAGTAGCGGCGAAACCGGCATCATCATCAACACCGGGCACGGGGGGGACGAAGGCAATGGGCACGTCATCATCTGGTGGTGGTGGTGGTGGTAGTGGTGGTAACGCTGGTACGGGTGGTGCTACTGCCGGAGGGAAGGGGAAGAAGGGTAAGACCGATGAGAAAGAATGCGAATGGAAGAGCATATTGGACGAGCCAAAGAGGAAAGTACACGTGCTGGGTTCTTATAGTGTAAGTTAAAGTAAAGGCACGCGCGCGCAAGGGCAACAAAGAGAAATGAAGAGTGGACGCGGAACTTGCTCATGCGTTTTTCACATGTATGTGTTCGATGGTGTATCTATAAAGAAGAGTGTAGTTGACATGTGAACATAGGTATATCATTCTTGTCCATGTACATAACACAGGCGCAACAGCTCGAAAAAATGAAGACCGTGCTGCAGCAATTTGTGGAGTACATGGACAAGAAGGATCAGTACATGGAGGCCATGGGGGCAAATTGTAATAATACAGGTTGGAATGATATAGACAAGGAGAACGTCTATTACCAGGACCAAACAGTGGCGGACGTCATGAGGTGTCGACTCATGTCGGGTGCATTGTTTTTTGCAAACGGAGCAAATAGAACTGAGACCCGTGCGCAACAGGGAAGTGGAGCAATTGATACAGAGGAGGAGAAGCTACGGTGTGAGGTAGTGAATGCCTTTGGGGATATACTAGAAAAAAAGTATTGTGATCATAAGACACCGTGGAGAAGGGGTGTAAAGTATGCATGGAAAACAATGCACAACATGAGCTCACAGGAATATGGACCGGGGCCACAAATGCCAGGTGCAGTCTTTGAGCGAAGGTGCACAGAATGTGGCTATGACATTAAGAACCCGGTAGTGCGAGTAGTGAATGGGGACATGGCAAACTTGTTAGTTCACGACGGACACATAATGGACAAAATAGGAAACATTGAACACCGGATGCCCTGTGAGAAGGACTGGAAGGAGTATACAAAAGGCATGACTAGCAGCACGCACAAACCGACAGTGGTGGACGAAAACGACATCCCGGACATAAAGAAGGCAGAGGGCGAAGTAATATCGAAAACAAAGGAAGCAGTGGCAAAAGTGCATGAGATACTAAACGCAGAAATTGAAAAAAAGAAAAGTTCAGCAGAGAAAGGTAAAGATACGAATACGATTCGAAAGAATACGAATACGAATATACGGCCTCTAGGCACCGTACGCATGCCACAGCACCGACGCGCACGAATATGGATCATACTGCCGCACACTGACCGTACGCCCGAATACGGTCGCACACGGGATCATACTGCCGCATATGGATTCCGCCACAACAACGCAACGGCGTCACAACACGCACACGCGGCGGAACAAGAGCACAGCAAACGACCTCGCTGGCGTCTAGCGGCCATGACGAGTGTGCATCGGTAGCGGACACGCGGCACCGGAGACGAGATGACGGACGACATGACGGACGGCAGCGGGACGGCGGCCGTGATGACGGCGAAAACATAAAAGTGCACTGCTACCATCTAGTCCAAGTTCACCGAGTACGCAGGCCACCTCACCGTGCGCGTGCTGCCGCCTCACTCAGTCCATCGCAGTCCATCTCGATCCATGCAGCCGACCGTACCCTGCCGCTACCTGACCGAACCACACCACACCATCCCGCCCCCTTCTTTCTGTACCACTTGTGTCCTGTTTTGTATCATCTGTCTACCATCTTTCTTCCGTTCTCCTTACTGCAGAAAAGAAGAGCAAGGCCAAGGAGAGCAAGGAGACATCCTCCTCGAAACTTCCAACGCAGGACGAGAAATCGCAGGAGGGAAAGAACCCCGTATCATCAACAGATCTAGGTCGGTCAGATCCAGATAAGGACAACGTTGTGCAACCACAGGCACCGGCATCCCCAGTATTACCAGCAGCACCACCACCACCTCCTCCACCACCAGACAGTGGAGTAGGAACAGAGGGACCCAAGGGAGCAGGACAACATCCTACGCAGGTACCCACAGAAAGCAAAGGTAAGGAAGCTACGTGCCCCAAGAATGTTAATGAGGAAACCTTAGGGACTGGAAGAGTTAGTATTGTCTTTGCACCGAACCCTGAGTGCAAGGAAGGCACAAGTTCCTCGGATCCCGGAAAGGCCATTACTGGTATTGCACAAGAGAGTGTACCTCCCATACCAGGAGACTTATTGACCATATTATATCCAACACACCCAAAGGACAATATCAGAGGGGGAAAAAAAAAAGAGCACAACATTCCACAGAGGCAGAGAGAAACCAAACGTCGAATGAGAATGCAAGCGGAAGAGCGACGGGGCGAAGGTGATCGGCCGCGAGATGTAGACGTCGACAGACAGACAGACACACTGTGTGTGTGTGTTGTGTGTGCTGTGTCGGAGACAGAGAGAGTCTTTTCCCGGGGTGGTACCGTAACCACCCTACCCCGTGCTTCCCTGCCCCCGTCCGTCTCCTGGCTCCACGCCTGCCTCCGTCCCCGCCGTCCGTCCCCATGGCACCAATGGTGCCAACCGCGGGCAACCGCCAGCAAACGTGTGGCCAAACATGTGGTCAACGGTAGTCAATCAACAACGACCGCTGCAAAAGTTCAGTTTCATCATACTGCATCCTGCCCTTTCCCTGTCTCCCCATTCACCAACTGTTCAGGCGATGCCGTCGTCGACGGCGGTAACGATGACCCCCCTCCTCTCAATCCACCCAAACCAAAACCGAACCCGAACCCCGATCAATCCGGTAGTAGTGGCAGTTTCAGTGATGCCGATTTGGCGGATGGAGTTTCTGGTGGGGAAGGAAACGGAGGTGGCAAAGGTCAACCGGGTTCCTCTGGACCTGGTTCTACTGGGGCCCAAGACCCTGCTTCCTCAACACCCGGATCCGCGGACACTGTGAATCCAGGTTCCTCCGGTACTGGTCCCACGGGACAAACGAACAATGAGAATAGTGAAATAAAGCCACCATCGCAAGAGAATTTACCTGCGGATACCGCCATCAACCCGTCCGTGCCGCCCGGCCTCAGATGGGAAGATGTCACGCCGTACACCCCCGCGATCATTCCCGCGGTGGTTGGTATTGGAATCATTGCGTTTTTCCTATGGAAGGTAAGTATATACGACAATGCGGGCATGCCGCATGTGCCGGATGTTTATACCTCAGAACATCCCAAACCGGCTCCAATATATGATCGTTCGAACCCATATATTCTCCTACACCCGCTTTCATTCCTTTTATCCTACCGTGCCCACCCTCCTCTTTACCCCCCTTTTTCTGTTTAGTACTTTGCATACCTCGCCAAACGACGACGAACATATCGAACCGTTCGTGACGTGCCGTCACCGCCACTCGACGAAGAAATATTGGAGCATCTACAACGAGGCGAACTGCCGCCACCCGATTACGGTTACAAAATGATTAGGGATAGGCAACCTCCGTCCACATCCGGTAGAGCACGCACACCACGCATGAATCGCCGCACGATTATCGAGCTACATCTAGAAGTGCTCAACGAATGTGAAGCGACCGAGTGGGAAAACGTCAAAGACGACTATTGGAAGATTGTAGTGGAGCAGTTTGCACATGACTTGGAGCAGGACCCGATTATGTGCAGCAGCATCTTGGATGTTCCGACCTCCCACGCCGCTTTAGCAACCCATGATTCCACAACCCGGGACTCATGTCCACCTAACAAAGAGGACCGATGGAATTGTATGGAAACTATACCGTTAGCAACGGACCGTTCTCCACCTCACGAACATGACCGATGGAGTTGTATGGAAACTATACAATTACAACCGGACCCTTATCCACCTAATGACCCCGATCCATGGCGTTGTATGGAAACCATACAGTTACCAACGCACCCTTGTCCACCACATGACCCCGATCCATGGAGTTGTATGAAAAACATACAGTTAGCAACGGACCCTTCTGCTTCTAACGAAGATGACCCCGATCCATGGAGTTGTATGGACACCATACAGTTAGATGCCGAACAGAGTCGTGCTCATTCCAACCACAGGCCGGCGCCCTCGGCCCACGACTTGCACACAACGTGGATCCCTTGGATTGACCGCAATAAGCATATGGTGCGGGCGTGCACGGGGCAAAAATGGTTTCTGCAATTAACAGCGGCTTGGAAACAATACCTGCGTGAGCACATGGCGGCAACCGCAGCATCCGGTGAGCACAGGAAAGCCGCAACCATGGAACGCACGAAATTGGATGCATGGAAAGAATGGGTCGCGCAGCAACATCAGCAAATGAGTACATACACGGAAGAGCAGTGGTTTCCACATTTGTTGAATAGTGCAGAGGAGGAGACAGTGCCGGAAAAAGGCGAAGTACCTGGAGTAGAAAAACACTTAGAAGTGGAAAAAGTAAAGGGAACAGAACATATACTGACAGTGAGAGATGTACCACGGTCGCAACCACTGCATCCGCAACCTTACATGAAAAAACGGTTCACCGCTAAAACATGGATACTGATCCTGGCATTCGTCATAGAAGAGAGTGAAATGGAGCAGAATATGCACGAAAAGGAGTTATATGTGGATGCTCTATTGGAGCAACTGTGACATTAGTATGACGGGGCACATGCATGCGACATAACGCATTCTGACCGTAGACCACTTTTATTTCATTATGTGATATACGTAATTTATTTATGGTTTGCACTATTCCATACCTTCCTTTTTTTGTTCTGCTCTGTTCTGCTGACTTCTGTTTTCTTTTGCTTTTGTTCTTTTTCTGTGTAGTCAACTTCTTTTAATATGACCATGGGGACAGGGTGGTACCGTTTAAATGCATATAAAATGTAGATTTAAATGAATAATATGAAGGGGTACAATTCTCCTTTATGTGAAGTTAATTATTAAAAGCTCAGCACGTGCATTCGCAGGGTATAGTGCAGAAAAAATATACAATGCGCATAAGCATTCGCGTATAAGGAGAGATTGTCTCTCCGAGCACACGCGTCGAGCAACGCGGCCGGGTAAAGCAGATTGTCCCCGAGTGTAAGACCGATTCGACGAAGGATTGTCCGAGTGTAAGAAAGGAGGGAGAGATTGTCTCTCCGAGCACACGCGTCGACCAACGCGGCCGGTCCGAGTGCAAGACGGATACGACGAAGTGGCCGCGTGACGGGAGAAGCGTTGACGGAGAGACGGCGTTGACGGACAAGGTGTGACCCGGAGACGGGGTGACTCGGAGAACCGTTGACGGAGAAGCGTTGACGGGAGAGGCGTTGACGCAAGAGGCGTTGACGGGAGCGGCGTTGACGCAGAGACGGGGTTGACGGCGACTTGGTTGACGGAGAACGCGGTGACGGAGACGGGGTGACGGAGACGGGGTGACGGAGAAGTGTTGACGGAGAGAGCGTTGACGGAAGAGGCGTTGACGCAGAATCGTTGACGGAGAGGCGTTAATGGAGACGGTGTGACGGCAGCGACGGCAAGGACGGCAAGGACGGCAGCAGTATTGATGTTGTTATACTGCGGTTTTGTTGTGTACGCGCACAGAGAGACAGTGTGTGTGACAGGCGTTTAGTGCACAACGCGATGTTGTTTTTAAGGGGTGTATATTCATGACGGGTTGCGTGCGTACGCTAGTGTAGTAGTACTTTTTTTTTTTTTCCCTTTTTTTTTTTTTCTTTCTCTTCTTGTTATTCAATCCTTTTATTTTTTTCTTTCTTCTCGATGTTGTTCTCCCTTAGCGCAACTATAAATAGTGTACGGCTGCATTATAGTGAGCACCAGTACCTATGATACCAGCAGTTCACGTAAATATTGTTGTAGAAGTAGACGAAAAATAATTATTTAGTAGAATATTAGCATACTGCGGAAGAGCATGTTAGATGGGTTTACATGTGATATATGTAGCATAATAGTACTTCCAAGGCACTGGACCAAGTAGAGAATACTAATACAATAATACTAATATGTCAGCAAGGCACCTAGCCCAGGTGTTGGCCGAATACGTGCGGGCGCGGGGTGCACACATGGGCCCCCAGGGTTATGTGGTAACCAAGAGTGATTGGCACGATATTAAACGCAGTGCACCTTACTTAGCTTATGCATAATGGGCAGGCAGTTTATGGAGAGCAGCTGCGTTCCATATGTGAATGAGTATGCACGGTGCTCGCTGTTATGATAGTGCGGGCACGCCTAGTGCACTGTGCACAGCAATGTATTCACAGGTGAATTAAGTGTAAAGGAGGACGCGCACGTTGTACACTATGCATATATGTATATGTGTTCTATTAATTGCAGCACAAACTGTGGGAAGATATAGAAGTGGAGTTAGGGCAGTTTGTGCAATACATGGAAGATATGGACATGGTGACGCTGGGTGTGAACTGTGAGAATGCGTATTATAACCACGAAAGCAATCCTGATGGTAACCCGCGAAGGGTAACATACGCGGGAGACAGAATTATGTGCACACTCATGACAGGAGCATTATATTTCCTGAATGGGTGGGGTACGCAGTCCGGCGGTTCGCACACTACCGACCCTAATAA